CGTTTGTCCCACATGCGTTTCCGTACTCGCTCTTAGTTTCCGGAAGTAGTCTCTCTGACAACAACAATGAAACAACAGCAGTGGTTGTTTAGCGAATTATGACTATGTTTTTAACCTAATTCTTGAATATGGCCAAATCGGAGAAAACTTTGAACGTGATATTAGTCTGACATTTTAAGAGTGGGACAATCGTGACTTTTCTGCTCATTTGAGCCACTTTGTTTACGTTAGCACCACGGTTTGAAGTTAGCCCACAGGAAAAGTTACTTTAAGTGCATGAAGAATCGGAGGCATCGGAATAAAAAAGTAAGTAAACGCATTTATTACACTGTTAACTAACATTTAATTTAGGGAAACTAAATATTCTTCTGAATATATACTAAACTGAATGTAGATAGGTACATACTGTACCCTAATGTTAATTAGGGTACAGTATAGTTACTAATGGTTAATGTATATGTCATTAATACAGCTGTAGCCAATCAGAGCAGTATTTTTGTCAAAATATATTTATTTTATATATTATTAAGATTCAGCTTACAGTATTTTTGTCAAAATATATTTATTTAATATATTAAGATTCAGCTTAAAATATATACATGTTACTTATTTGTTATTAGTTCTTGGTAAGGGTTACTAATCAGTTCAGTCTATTATTAATTATTATTTAATAGGTTGTACAACAACAACAAGGACTGACCTGTGGCTTTGCTCAGACACCACTGTCTTTGATAGTAGTTCATAGTCCTGGCCCGGTGTCCTGTAGGGGGGACATTGTCCCACAGAGATAATGGGGTTATTACTCTCTTACTGACAGGGTCAAGATGTCATTCCAGCAACAAAATTGACCTTTTTAGCAGTCTATTCTTTCAGTCTGACACTATGTCACTGCACTGACAGTAATCTGGATGAAGTGAAACCTGGTTTCTAACATGGGCAAAATTAATCAGGAGAAAGTAATATAACAATTAACTATTTATAACTAGTTATTGGTGACTGTATAGCCCAGACACACCTGATATCATTTTAATTGCCCCTTTTTTTTCTTTTTTTACACCTTCAGAGAGATGCCCAGGTTGCAGTCCGGCGTGTGGAAACATTTTACCCCGGCCATTAAAAATGGGAGGGAAACTGTCATGTGCAATTACTGCACAAAGACATGCACTAAGAACGCTACTAAGATGCAGATGCACTTGGACAAATGTAAGGAGTACTCTGTGGCGACGCAGCAGTCACCTGCTCCTGATGGATGTTCCGCTGCCTCCGTTCCTGTCCCCTCCTTCTCCTCCTACCTGCCGTCTGCAAACCCCGCGGGGCCCTTCCTTATTGATTCAGTGGATCAGCGCAGCCAAGCCTATGCTGACGAGTTCCTGGCCAGGGCTGTGTATGCCACCTCCTCATCTCTCTCCCTCACAGAGAATATTTATTGGAAACGATTTTTCAACGTGCTGCGACCTGCTTACTGTCCGCCCACCAGAGAGGCTTTGTCCTCTCATCTGCTGGAGTGTGAGCACGACAGAGTTCAAAACCAAGTTCGCGATGCCATAGGAAAAGCAGACAGTTTGACCATAATGTGCAGCGGCTTTTCACACCTCAAAGATAATGGAACTATTGTTTATGTGGTGGCGACCCCTGAGCCGCTGTTCTACAAATGCACAAAGACAAAAGAGCCGACAAACCGTGGCTCCTTCATCGTACAGGAACTAAAAGGGATCATAAACAAGGTGGGAGCTCAAAAGGTCTTTGCCGTCATCACTGATGATTGTCCAGAAATGGCTGCAGCCCGGTCACAGGTCGAGGAAGTTTTCCCGCACATATCAGTGATTGGCTGCACAGCATATGGCATCCAGCGACTCTTTGAAGACTTGGTGGCACAGCCGTCTATGAAGGTGTTGTGCAGGAGAGCTGAACAGGTGGTGAGGCACGTCAAGGAGTGCAAGGTTTTAGAAGACACTTTTAATTCTTGGCAGAGCACCAAGTTGAGAACTAATGCTTCTGACAGAACAACGCTGGCTCTGCCTAACAGTTGTGACTGGACTGGTGTGCTAAAAATGTTCAGCAGCCTCCTCGACGGCCAGAGTGCTCTCCAGGAAATGGCCATCTCCCCTAATCTGACTGTTGAAGCCTCCGTCAGAGCAACTCTGCAGGATTCTGCATTCTGGAAGGGTCTGCTCAGCAGTCACAACCTACTACAACTGGTCAGGAATTCCACTGACCAGATGAAAAGAGAGGGCGCTGTGCTGTCCGGTGTTGTCGACATGTTCAGTCAGCTGAGGTACCACATAGGAAACTCTCTCTTGGGGTCTGTGCTGCACAGCACGGAGCAGAAAGCTGTGCTGGCTTCACTGGACAGATGTGAGGAGCTCTGTGTGAAGCCCATCCACGCAGCGGCCTACATGCTCGACCCCAAGTACGTCGGGCAGCAGACCCTCACAGGGGAGCAGATAAACAGCGCTTACTTTGTGATATCCACCCTCTCACATCACCTGAACCTTGACGAGGGTAAAGTTCTCGCCAGCTTTGCCAGGTTCTCGGCCAAACAGGGACTTTGGAAAGGATCGGGAATATGGAGCTCCTGCCAGCACGTGTCGGCGTTCACCTGGTGGAAAGGCCTGTGTTCCTCAGAGCCACTGTCCGCAGTGGCCGCTGCCATTCTCCAGATCCCTCCATCGACAGGTGTCTGCGAGAGCCTGAGGTCCCGACTGTGCAACGTAAAAACTGAAGGTTCTCTCACAGCGGACGGGTTGGAGAAACTGGTCGCCGTGCAGGCGAATCTCAACCTTTTGGAGCCGAGTGATTTTGAGTTTATGCCTTTAGAGAGGGAGGAGGAGGAGAAGAAGGTTTTCTTTCAGTCAGAGACTCAGTAGATTTATAACATATGTTAATAAGGTCATCATTTTCTATTAACTACTTTTACTACAAACCACTGATTATCATGCCATGTCATTATCACCTACTACAAGATTACAAAGTAAGTTTGATGTAAGATGTAAAACCTCCAATTTGTATTGCATTTGTAGAAACAATATTCAGTTCAGGAATGTAATTAAGATCTACTTCAAAAATGACTGTTTTCTTTTCTGGTAGTATCACCAACAAACACTGCATCTTTTTTGTAATGTAATAATGACCAACAAAGATATTGGACACTGCAAAGTCTGACCTAAGAAAAGGGTCATTACTATTTTATTCTAATAAAAAATCAGTGGTTGACTTGAATTGTCCTTCAATTTTGTTTTTGTTTTTTTGCCAGAGCTAGACTTCAATAAATATTAACATAGAAAAATAAAAATGCAACCTTGAAGAAAAAAGTTATACTGCTGAATTTAAACTGCAGATAAAGTATGCAGCCAAAAAACAAAACTATCCTCATCCATTTCCAACTGTTACATTATCCAATATTTGGATGACAGAAAGTTTACACTACAGTTTAGTTAAAGATATTTTCCCTGCTTCTTTAAGAAGCTGTTTCAGGTCCTGTTCTTTGTCCAACTGAAGCCATACCTACCTTAGGTCAGCATAAGCCACACGTACATTAATATCCCACAATTATTTGGTGTCAGCAGACTGGTAGCCTGCTTCCCATATTTTATTACTTTCTGTTAGAGCCAGTTTAGCTATTTACCTCCAGTAAGTCTTGTTTTTGCTGAGCTAACACGCAGCTGCTGACTGGGAAGTGAAAGCGCGGTGATGGATGTTAGTGTTGAAATTCTTACCGTCAATCAGTCAAAAAGTCGAAATGTAGCATCTTTAACTGTGGATCAGACTTTTTTAGCTCTTTTTGTCATAAACAAACAGAGATGCTACAGAGATGCTCCACTCTGGGGCAGCTTTTCTCCCACGGTCTCTGCTACGTTACTGCTTCGTCTCAGGGCAGCCGCAGGGATGTGCATCCCAGGCCTTGTACAGAGATGCTTTATTAATCCTAATTGGAACAAGGCGGCGGCGGCGGCGGAGGCGTAGCCTTGAAGGCAACAGACCTGTCGTAAATCTGACTCTGTTTTCTCCTCAGCATCACTCAGTAAAACCATCACTTCTCCGTCTTCTCTCCATCTCTCACTGATTGGCTTCACTTTGCTGCCCATCGTCAGCCTTGCATCGGGGGCAAAGGGGCGTCAGCAGCGATAACAAATGCTGGGCTGTAATTAAATGATGGTTCACGGCGTGCTGTTTGTGACTGATGGTAAATGTTGGCTGGTTTTTAAAGAAGACGTTTTCCTCTGGTTTAATTTTTTCATACAGTATCGAAGAGAGACATGGAATCACTGCATCGTCGTCATTCGCTGTCGTGTCTTTGTCGCCGGCGCTGGTTAACTCAGTGATGTGTTTTTGTTTGTTTATGACAAGGTCACAGTGTGGAGCTGCTCAGAATTCAACACCGTGCACCACCACCGCTGCCGCCGCCGCTGCCGTCAGGCCTTAATGTCTGCTGTTTTATGTGAACTTTTTACGACTTTTCTTTTTTACCGTCAACACATCTAATAAAAATGTGTTGTCCTGTGTCCTTCGATGCCTGTTCATTCATATGTGCTTATAGTTAACTCCAGCTCGACCAATTAGATTTCCTCTTCGAGAACAGTCGCTCTTGTAGGATGCTGACTTCAACAGCGCTCGCCGATGAGTTTAGAACTTAAACCTTAAAAGGGTGTTACATTTATTGACTATAACAACCTCAGACGTTGTTCATTGATAAACCAAGCGTCTGAGCCAGTTTAGTTAGAGAGTCCATCTTTCTTGTCCAATCAGCTTTCAGTGGTAGAGAAGGTTGATCAGCCCTGAGAATTGACACATTTTTCTACATCACAAAGTCAAATTCATAAAAATCGCCATTGTTAAAATTGTCCGTTCATACATCACAAAGTCAAATTCATAAAAATTGCCATTGTTAAAATTGTCCATTCGTCCGTCAGACTGTGATCAGCTCGTCCATCAAAATGTACAGATGAAGCTCGCCCACGCTGCTCACAACACATTTATGGATGTATATTAACAGGAGGAAATGACATTTCCACATGGACAGGAAACACAAGCCTCCAACAGCATCAGCTTCACACACACAGACACAGACACACACACCGAAGAGGACCCTCCAACGGTGGTCTGGAAACAACAGCTAACAACTAACAACATTGTCCTCCCTCCTGGGAACTGTGATTAATACTGCACGTCTACATTCCCAGGAAGGGTTCCTTTACAGCACATTACCCAGCAGCACTCTGGACTCCACCAGAGCAGAGTGCGGTGTCTTTAAAGTGTGGACTGCGGCACAGCGCTGGGTCAGGACGGTATTACTTGACGATAATTGATGTCAGATGAGATGGAGTGTAATTTTGTTATCTAATCAGGTCGGTAAAGTACGGCTGCTGCAGCAGCTGAAGCCGGTCCAACTGTGACTCCCCCTCCCTCCCTGCCTCCCTCCCCCCTCCTCACCTCTCCTCCTTCAGGGGCTGATAGTATTATCACAGCCTGGAACAATGGGAGGCTTTAGCCAGGAGTGTGTGCATGAAGAGGGAGTTCAAGTGAGGAACTGATGGGCTGCTCACAAAAGAAGGCTTTGTCCTGTGATCGCTGAGAGAAGAAAGTCATATTTTTTACACCAGTATCAATGGCCGGAGATAAAACTCTGGAGGAGAAAAGGCTGAAGAACGAGACTTCAAGTCTCTCACTTCTCAGGTCTGCACATCCCAGTAACCAGGACTTGAATCATAGGTTTCATACTCTCCTTTTTCTCGCTCTAACCATATGTTTTCAACACTTTTGAAAAGTATCGACTGAACCAAACTCATCGTCGTCCTCAAGAACATATTCCTTAACCTATTTCTTACCCTGAAAGAACAGGCATATTTTTCCCTCAACCTGTTTCGACACGGAGCTCACATCTTCTTCAGACGGTGTCACTGTGATGTCACAGCGCCATCAACTGACTCTTCTGAAGGAAGAGAGCTCAGTGTTGAAACATGTCAAGGTAAAACTACACGTTTCTCTGAATATAAGAATCCTGAAGAACACATTAAACCTGTCATGGCAACGTGAATCCAGGAGAACAAAAATATATTTTAGGTTTTCAGCCACACGTTTGTCTTTATCAGTACTTTTAGTTCCCAAAGGAAACAGTTAAAATCACTGCAGCAACTGGCAACAGGCCAGGTTTAAATTTGAAGCTTTTACCTTAATGGAGGAACTGTACTCCTGCAGACGGAGGTCAGGGGTGGCAGTGAAGTACATGGTGGTGGTGCAGGGCAGGGCAGGAAGACCACAGTCAGAGCGACAGACCGTCTCCAACTAAAAAAAAAAAGAAAAAAAACGAAATGGAAAACAACCATTAAAACAGTCTGTGTCGTCTTCTGGGATCGGTTCCACACTTCATTCCACAGTAAAAGCTCTTCAAAAATATTTGCAAGCACATACCGAGTCAAGATTAGCCTTGTGGTTTTTTTCCTGACATGTACACTAGGAGTTTCTTCCAACATTTCCAAGCGCATCATTCTAAAAACTCAGACCACATTGGGTTTTTGGTAGGAGGCCACTGAGCTACACTGTACCAAAACAGTGCTAATGCTAACATTTAGGACCTTGACGTTCATGTAATGTGCGCTAACGTTCCTGTGGTTTCAGCCCAGATTACAAACCTTCCCTCAGCTTCATCTTTCTCACACCGGCCCATGTGCGTCAGCAGGTCCAGGCTTTATATAGAGGCGGCCATTGTGTCCGACCGTTGAGGCCACGTAGCTGCTGCTAACGTCCAAACTACTGTAATAACAGACTGGCAACAATTTGTGGCTGCAGCTTCCCATCATTTTCTCATTCTTCACCCAGGATAACACCGACCCACTCAGCATTCCCACCCCCCCTAAAAAATACAACAGATGACCTGTGCCAAGGAGACTCGGACTACTACCGGTCATTATCGCAGTAAGGGTGCTAGGACGCTTGGGTTGCAGATATGTAAAGTAACCTGGTGGTGAGGAAGGAGGAGGAGGAGGGAGCTCCCCTCTCCTCCCCCCTTCCTCCCCCCTCACCGCTGCCCTCTCCTGTTCTTGCTGCTCTCAGCAGCCCGTAATGCTTTTATAATCACATTCCATCCCAGCTGAATCTGGAGGAGGCGATCGCAGCGTTTCTTTTTCTACTACACCACCTGCTGTAAAGTGGTTCAAACGTCAGGTAGAATTATAGTGGTGGGAGAAACAGGGCCGTTCCCTTACATTAAAGTACCTGAACCACATGGGGAAAAAAAAAAAAAACTCCATTACAAGTCTTGAACTATTTTTTAAAAAGTTGTTTATATACTGTGTATCATTTATATATGTGTGAATATTATCCTTTTACTACTTTATATTTAAGTAGCAAAAGTATCTTTGTGATTACAGATATATCCTCACATACATAGATATATATACATATATGTATATATATAAAATATATATTTATATACCTAAATGTAGAATTATATGTATACTATACATGTGTTTATATATGTATATATATATATCTGCATATTAATACATATAATCTATTTATATATAAATATAATTTTATCCTATGTTCAGTATATATATTTCCATATAAATATTCTATATATTTTTGTATATATGTACATGTATTTTTTTGTTTTTATTCTATTCTATTTAAAACAGCAACTGCTACAATAATCTTGAAATGAAACATTTTGTACATTTTAAATATGTATGAAATATATTTTATATTCAGTTTCATTATAAATAAACCGTTATAACAAACAGCTCTGAACTCTCGTGAGGAGGCAAATGGACATGAATGTGAACGTTTGGAGGAGTTCTTCCACACCGACGTCTAAACCCGACAAGGAGCTCCGTTGTCGTGAAAATATTGTCGTGCGGTGGAAGAAGCCGACCGTAAAATGTTCAATTATACTTTAAATGCTACCTCCAGCGCCGCGGCGCAGCCTCTCTGTTTAGGGCTAATTCTATAACATAAGGCAGGCGGCGGTTGACACGGTTAATCACTGTGATCATTCAGCTATGAATATGGGCTGATTATACATCTTTTTGTCTTGGCTGAATTATGGAGCAGCTGCAGGAGTCACACACCGTGCTGCAGGTGTGTGTGTGACACAGCGCCTCCTGGTAACCAGGAACTTGGTTTCCTGGATGTTGTTGCTTGTTTGTTGCCATGAGATGTTGGTGCTTGTTTGTTGCCATGACGTGTCGCACAGACACTCGGCCTCGGATCATTCC